ATTTATAATAACATACATTTGGGGTACTCACAAGCCGTCGTAAAGCATCGAAAAATCATAAAATTATACAGTTTTAAACTTTAAAAAAAAAAAAAAAACAAATGTTGCTGGAAAATTATACATACACATATATTACCATTTTCATCTAAATGAACACAGATTCAAAGGAATCTAAATCGCATCAATTACTAAAACTACTAAAAATGGTTTTGGCTGAAAAAAGTCCATGTACACCGGCAGAAGCTACACACTCGAAGCAAGGTGCTACAAAACAAAAACGGGGAAAAGATATTTCGTACTCTAAATTCTTATCAGAGAGTGACAGCTTAATACGATACTGCACTCGATTTTCGTCTTCGCCGATTCTAGATAACTCTGAATCGGTACTAGAAATCAAGAATCCAAATCTTGACAATTTTTGGACACGTCTCCAAGCGGCCTATGACGCCATTGTAGAAACGGACGATTAGGATCTTCTGGAAAATTTCAAAACCTCGGCTTACTCCAAATATGAAAATTGTCTTGACCAATATGAAGAGACAAAAGCCATGATCTCTGATCAATTAAAACTAACAAGGTCAATCGCACCAAATCCTCAACTGAGAGTAGAGCTACTACAAGCACAGGCCCAAGAGGCAAGTTCAGGTGTTCACCTCAAAGTGCCCGCATGTGACACAGCAATTTTTCATGGGGGTTATGAACAATGGCCGTCCTTCCGAGACATCCTCGGATACAAAACAAACGGTCAAGCAGGCGTCATAGTAAAACAGTTCGCTCTTAATGACAACAATTTCAATTTGGCTTGGGAAGCCTTAAAAGAACGATACGAGAATGAAAGAATACTGGTCGACAAACAAGTGACCATATTAATGAATTTACCAAAAATTAAGAGAGAAACAAGCGAAGAATTCATAAAACCTCAATCGACTGTTTCGAATTGTTTGTCGGTTCTAACGACACAAAATATTAACACTGACAATGTAAACATATACTCCGCGGCATTACCAGAAAAATCATTGCTTTTGTAGGAGCAATTGCTCTCTTCGCGAAGAAAGTGCCCGACGTGGCAACAGATGAAAGATTTCCTAACTGCCCAATATGAAATCGCGGAAAGGGTAGATAAAAAAATGGTCCGAACTAAAAACGTTCAACATGACCTAAATCGCAGCTTCATTCGGCCCCAAGCTAATAACAACAACAACTTAAATCGTAGTTTTTTCAAAACACAATCGTTCACTTCCGAACAAAACAAACATACGTCATGCGAACTATGCACAGGAGGGCATAAACTCAAATCTTGCGATAAGATTAAAAAATTAATATTAATGAAAGGAACAACTTTGTCAGATCAAAAAGACTCTGCATAAATTGTTTGTCCCATTCCCACAATCTAAATAATTGCGAAAGCAAATTTAATTGCGTATATTGCCACAAAAAAAGCATCATTCAATCTTGCACTTCACTAATTTCCCCAAAACACCCCAAACTAGCGCTTTYCCAAAAAGGGCCACGGGTTTAGTTGCAACCGCAACACCCGAATCTCAAAATTCCGAAATATGTCAAGAAGCACCACGCTGCTCAAAGGCTTTAAAAACTCAAACGCTGCACAGCGAAAATCAAAGTAGGGTACTACTACCCACAGCAGTCGTCTCCATCGAACATCGAGGAGAACTGTTTAAGCTCAGAGCCCTAACGATCTTTCATAGCGTCTAGGGCACAAAATAGGCTAAAACTGCCAACAAAACAAGCCAACTTTGAAATTGCGGGAATGGGCGGAAGAGTAGTTCAAAACTCAAATAAAATCTGACCCATTACCCTAATTTTCCCCCAAGCGGATAAGCGCATTCAAGCAGATGCAATAGTCTTACCGCAACTAACCAATATGTTACCAAGCTATCATAAAAATAGCAAGCAATGGCAAAAGGTTACACACCTAAATCCCCACACCTTATCACAAGTGGCAAAGGCCCCCAATACCGCAGGGTTTCCCCGAAAAAAGATTACAGCAAATCACCCAAATATATTAAAAGCCATGCAACACAGTGACGCACCTAGAGTTATAAAAAGCAAAGGTCGCACTAATCGCATATACACAAACGCGCTACTTCAGCCGCGATATATCATTACTAAGAGAATCGAAGCCGATTGACAAAAAGAGCTCACTCTTAGTGCTACACCCATTTGTGGACACGAAAGGTCTGCTTCGTGCCAATGGTCGGCTTGCCAATTCGAGCCTAACATACAATGAACGCCACCCCATAATAATACCTGAGAAATCTCCATTTGCCAGACTATTTCTACATTACATCCATATATTAATGCTACACGCCGAAAACCGTCTCATGCAGCATGTGGTACGAGAGGAATATTACACTCAACGTCTGAAGCCCCAAATCAAGAAATGCATTTTCAGGTGCAAGATCTGCACTATGCGTAAACAGAAAATGCGAACACAGATTATGGCAGCTCTTCCACCGGAACGCTGCAGCTTTGCTCCGCCTTTTACCACTACAGGTGTAGATTTTGCTGGTCCTTTTCAGAGAAAAGCCTTCCATGCTAAGATCTCCTACCCTCATGAAAGGCTATGTGGCTGTTTTTGTCTGTTTTACCACAAAAGCAGTACACCTG